ACATTTTGAGTATGATAGCCAACTATTGATTTTAAGAACACCCCAGTTTATAGTATATGGATTTTTTATTTTATAATATAGAAACATAGATTGTGATGGCAGATAACAACCATTCGGCCCATCTAGTCTGCCCAATTTTCTAAATACTTTTATTAGTCCCTAGTCTTATCTTATAGTTAGGATAGCCTTATGCCTATCCCACGCATGCTTAAACTCCTTTACTGTGTTAACCTCTACCACTTCAGCTGGAAGGCTATTCCATGCATCCACTACCCTCTCAGTAAAGTAATACTTCCTGATATTATTTTTAAACCTTTGTCCCTCTAATTTAAGACTATGTCCTCTTGTTGTGGTAGTTTTTCTTCTTTTAAATATAGTCTCCTCCTTTACTGTGTTGATTTCCTTTATATATTTAAATGTTTCTATCATATCCCCCCTGTCTCGTCTTTCCTCCAAGCTATACATGTTAAGATCCTTTAACCTTTCCTGGTAAGTTTTATCCCGCAATCCATGAACCAGTTTAGTAGCCCTTCTCTGAACCCTCTCTAAGGTATCAATATCCTTCTGAAGATACGGTCTCCAGTACTGTGTACAATACTCCAAGTGAGGTCTCACCAGTGTTCTGTACAATGGCATGAGCACTTCCCTCTTTCTACTGCTAATACCTCTCCCTATACAACCAAGCATTCTGCTAGCATTTCCTACTGCTCTATTACATTGTCTGCCTACCTTTAAGTCATCAGAAATAATCACCCCTAAATCCCTTTCCTCATATGTTGAGGTTAGGACTCTATCAAATATTCTGTACTCTGCCCTTGGGTTTTTACGTCCAAGATGCATTATCTTGCACTTATCCACATTAAATGTCACTTGCCACAATTCTGACCATTTTTCTAGTTTACCTAAATCATTTGTCATTTGGCTTATCCCTCCTGGAACATCAACCCTGTTACATATCTTAGTATCATCAGCAAAAAGACATACCTTACCATCAAGACCTTCTGCAATATCACTAATAAAAATATTAAAGAGAATGGGTCCAAGTACAGATCCCTGAGGTACCCTACTGGTGACAAGTCCAAGCTTCGAATATATTCCATTAACTACAACCCTCTGTTGCCTGTCACTCAGCCACTGCCTTACCCATTCAACAATATTGGAATCCAAACTTAAAGATTGCAGTTTATTGATAAGCCTTCTATGTGCAACAGTGTCAAAAGCCTTACTGAAATCTAGGTAAGCAATGTCTACTGCACCACCCTGATCTATAATTTTAGTTACCCAATCAAAAAATCAATAAGATTAGTTTGGCATGATCTCCCTGAAGTAAACCCATGTTGTCTCTGATCTTGAAATCCATGTGTTTTAGATGTTCATCAATCCTATCCTTTAACATGGTTTCCATCACTTTCCCCACTACTGAAGTAAGGCTTACTGGCCTATAGTTGCCCGACTCCTCCCTATTACCTTTCTTGTAAATGGGCACAACATTCGCTAACTTCCAATCTTCTGGGACTACTCCTGTTAACAATGATTGGTTAAATAAATCTGTTAATGGTTTTGCTAGTACACCACTAAGCTCTTTTAATAGCTTTGGGTGTATTCCATCAGGCCCCATTGACTTATTTGTCATTACTTTTGACAGTTGAAATAGAACCTCTTCCTCTGTAAACTCATGTGTAATAAATGACTCATTTATCCTTTTTCTCAACTGAGGTCCTTTTCCTTCATTTTCATCTGTAAATACAGAACAAAAATATTCATTGAGGCAGTCAGCTAGACCTTTATCCTCTTCTACATACCTTCCTTCTTTTGTTTTTAATCTAACTAATCCTTGTTTTACTTTTCTTTTCTCATTTATGTATTGTGATAAAGTGAAGGCAGATAGGCCTTTTAACCCCAGGGGAAGTATGTGTAGTTTGTGTGTTGCACAACCCAAAGCTTTGTTTAGTTATGGGCCCCTGGGGTGGAGCATTTGGAGAGAAGGGTGGGCCAATGCTCCACTCCACAGTTTAGTGGTTTTCTGGGGAGACATAGATCCAGGCCAGGGTTTTTGAACCGTCTCCAACCCACTGCTCAGCTGCAGTTAATGAGCTATTGCAGTGGGAATAAACCCCTCCCGGCTAGGCAGGTAAAGGAGAGGGATTGCTGGCTTCCTCCCAGGAAGCAGGTAGGAGAGAGGCTGTTCTGGGAGTGCAGAAAGGAAGCAGTCAAGGCTGGCTTGGAGCACTGGGAGTGCAGAAAGGAAGCAGTCAAGGCTGGCTTGGAGCACTGGGAGTGCAGAAAGAAAAGCAGTCAGGGCAAGGCTAAATACTGGAGTGCTGAGAGTGGACAAAGACTCTAGGTTGGTGAAACCAATATTGTTTTGTTTAGTTTAACCCTGAGAGATAGGGAACCTAATGTCAGTTAGTGCTCAGGCGAGCTAGGTTTTTGTTTATAGGGGTTTGTGTTACATTTATGTTTTAATTTACTGCTGTATGCTGTGTGGATTTTCAAATAAAGTGCCTGGAGTATATGCAATAACAAGGACTGTGCCTATTGTTTACCCTAGAGGACCGTGCTACCTGCAAACAAGGATCACAGTATCTAAAAAATGTTTTATCCCCCTTTTTTACTGACTGTGCTATTTTCTCTTCTGTGTGTGATTTGGAAGCTCTTATAACTTGCTTAGCCTCTTTCTGCCTAATCTTATAGATCATTTTGTCTTCCTCACTCTGGGTTTTTTTATAATTCCTAAATGCTAACTTTTTGTTTTGAACTATTTTGGCCACATCTGCGGAGTACCACAGTGATTTCTTGAATTTTTTGCTTTTACTGACAAGCCTAATGCAATTTTCTGTTGCCTTCCATAGTGCAACTTTTAAATAATCCCATTTCTCTTGGACTCCATTTAAATTGCTCCAGTCTGATAATGACTCCTCTACCCATATTCTAATTTTAGAAAAGTCTGTTTTTCTAAAGTCTAAAACTTTTGTTTTTGTGTGGTGTGACTCAGTCACTGTTCTTATATTAAACCACACTGACTGATGATCACTGGATCCTAAACTTTCACCTACAGTAATATCTGATACCAAATCTCCATTTGTTAACACTAAATCTAGTATGGCCTCTTTACGAGTTGGCTCCTCAACAACTTGTTTTACAGACAATCCCAGTAGGGAGTTTAGAATATGTGTGCTCCTGGCACAAGTAGCTAATTTTGTTTTCCAATTTACATCAGGAAGATTAAAGTCACCCATGATGATAACTTCCCCCTTCATTGTCATTCTAGCTATTTCCTCAACTAGTAGATTATCTAACTCTTCAATTTGTCCTGGGGGCCTATAAATCACACCTACACGAGTTACTGTGTGATTACCAAATTCTAACGTAGCCCAAACGGACTCTATGTTTGCCTCACTAACTTTTATTAGGCTAGATTTTATGCTATCCTTCACATACAAAGCCACCCCTCCCCCTTTCTTGCCTTCCCTATCTTTCCTATATAAAGAGTACCCTGGTATTGCTATGTCCCAGTCATTTTTCTCATTATACCATGTCTCAGTAACAGCGACTAAATCTACACTATCAGTTGCCATTATTGCCATAAGTTCATGGATCTTATTCCCTAAACTGCGAGCATTTGTAGACATGACTCTAAGCTTATCATTTTTTAACACACTTGCTACAGGCACCTTCTGTCCTTGTTTTGGGGGACAATTGGATTGATGTTTTATCACCCTTTTGCCCCCCCTCCTAGTTTAAATACATCCTAGCAAAACCTCTGAACTGCTCACTGAGAACATTTGTTCCCTTTTCTGAGAAAGATGCAAACCATCTTTTTTGTACAGCTTATCTCCATAATAGGTGTATATTGTTCACCTCCATTCAGGAACAGTACTTTTATCAATTATATACTAGATCTCATGTATATAAAAAGGTATGGTTAGTTCTAATATACACTGCTCAATGCCACTTTGCACTTATTGTTACTAAATGCCAATTCAGACACATCACTAGTTCAAGATCGCAAATGGAGATGCACGAGAAAATAGATAATTCCTCGAGTGGAACGCACATGTCATACGACATGCGTTCCAGTGACGTCAACCATGCGCCCGAATTGGCACAGGTGACGCGACCCGGAAAAAAAAGAGCGCACGGCGTTTGAATTGGAACGCATAATGCGTTCCAAAGTGCAGGCAGCCGATCCCAGAAGTACCTGCATAAGACAATTGAAAAGGATGTCAAGGAGCCGCTCCACACCACAAATCGACTGAGGAAGCCCCTACCACAGATCGAAACCCATTTCGGGCATACCAGCCATCAGGCAGGACTTTTATTGGACTAATCTAGTCTTATTGGAACTTTTATTTTATACATCCATTTATTGTCTATTTTTACCTTAATGAATAAAGCACCTTTTATGGAAAATTGCCTGTTGCAGCTCAGCTTTACTCCAGCAACCCTAAAAGACTACAAAATGAATATCTGGAAGAAAGATGGGGACATCCTACTAAGAGTCCCTCTGCACTACACATGAAAGCCATATGTTATTTGGCTGTGAAGGGGAGAAAGATACACAAACAAGAGGCTGGGGGGGAAAGAGACACAGAGGGGCTGGGGAAGGGGCAGAGAAAGACAAGAGCTAGGTGGACAATACTGAGGGCCTGGGGAAGGGGCAAAATAGACAAATGGCTAGGGAAGGGACAAAACAGAGGCTTGTGGGGAGACACTTATATTATGACTCTTTCTTCCTCCAGCCCCTTTTGTGTGTCTCGTTCTCCCCTTCCCAGCCCATCTGTGTGTTTTTCTCCCCCAGCACCTGAAAATCAAAAGTCTTCTCATTTGGCCTCATCGCTTGAAGCATGATGACATCAGATGCAGCAAATTCCTCTCATAGAGAAGCATTGGGTTCAGCTCTTCCCTATGAAAAGCACTGTAATGGCAGAGTGCTGCAGTTGCCAATATAAATATAGGATTTGAATCCTATCCGTATTGGACAATAAAAAAAAAAAAAACACTCCATCTGGGATTCGAACCCAGGTCTCAACTGTATCCAGTCTTGGTACTAACCGCTATACGAATGGAGCCTTGCTGTAACTCTTCACTAAAATCCTGTCTTTTCTCAAAATTTAACTGCATCATCAGCTGAAAGCCACAAAACCAGTTTGACATCTTTTGTAGCTCAGTTAGTCTGCAAACCCTCCTATCTCTGTCAGCATCACAGGGTGGAGCTCCAATCTCAGCTAACCTCTAGCAATACAGGTGATATGGACTACATTTACCATTCTATTCAACCACACAATGTATTAACAATTTAGGCAAATGCACTCCACAATAACAGGGCTGACAAACATTAGCCATTACTGCATGGTAACACTACAATTTATTACCTCAGTGACTAGCTTATCTCACTGCTCCTAAGCTGCTTTATGAGTATTACCAGTAGAAATTAAAATAGGAACAGAGGAAATGACATTCATTCATTTATAACTTCAATACCCTTATGCCTCATGGCTTAAACTCAGACTGAGATTTGCCATTTCTTTTAACCATTACATTAGACATATACATTTTGAGTATGATAGCCAACTATTGATTTTAAGAACACCCCAGTTTATAGTATATGGATTTTTTATTTTATAATATAGAAACATAGATTGTGATGGCAGATAACAACCATTCGGCCCATCTAGTCTGCCCAATTTTCTAAATACTTTTATTAGTCCCTAGTCTTATCTTATAGTTAGGATAGCCTTATGCCTATCCCACGCATGCTTAAACTCCTTTACTGTGTTAACCTCTACCACTTCAGCTGGAAGGCTATTCCATGCATCCACTACCCTCTCAGTAAAGTAATACTTCCTGATATTATTTTTAAACCTTTGTCCCTCTAATTTAAGACTATGTCCTCTTGTTGTGGTAGTTTTTCTTCTTTTAATTATAGTCTCCTCCTTTACTGTGTTGATTTCCTTTATATATTTAAATGTTTCTATCATATCCCCCCGTCTCGTCTTTCCTCCAAGCTATACATGTTAAGATCCTTTAACCTTTCCTGGTAAGTGTTATCCCGCAATCCATGAACCAGTTTAGTAGCCCTTCTCTGAACCCTCTCTAAGGTATCAATATCCTTCTGAAGATACGGTCTCCAGTACTGTGTACAATACTCCAAGTGAGGTCTGTACAATGGCATGAGCACTTCCCTCTTTCTACTGCTAATACCTCTCCTATACAACCAAGCATTCTGCTAGCATTTCCTGCTGCTCTATTACATTGTCTGCCTACCTTTAAGTCATCAGAAATAATCACCCCTAAATCCCTTTCCTCAGATGTTGAGGTTAGGACTCTATCAATATTCTGTACTCTGCCCTTGGGTTTTTACGTCCAAGATGCATTATCTTGCACTTATCCCCATTAAATGTCAGTTGCCACAACTCTGACCATTTTTCTAGTTTACCTAAATCATTTGCCATTTGGCTTATCCCTCCTGGAACATCAACCCTGGAACATCAACCCTGTTACATATCTTAGTATCATCAGCAAAAGACATACCTTACCATCAAGACCTTCTGCAATATCACTAATAAAAATATTAGAGAATGGGTCCAAGTACAGATCCCTGAGGTACCCCACTGGTGACAAGTCAAAGCTTCGAATATATTCCATTAACTACAACCCTCTGTTGCCTGTCACTCAGCCACTGCCTTACCCATTCAACAATATTTGAATCCAAACTTAAAGATTGCAGTTTATTGATAAGCCTTCTATGTGCAACAATGTCAAAAGCCTTACTGAAATCTAGGTAAGCAATGTCTACTGCACCACCCTGATCTATAATTTTAGTTACTGAAGGTAAATTTGCTACTCTGGTGACTCAGTCCCTCTGGTCACTATTCTCCAACCCTCGATTGTCAGCTGAATATTCAGGGAAGATTTTTATGGAAGCGTATTAACCAGACACACACTCTTTGCTTTCCATAATCTTCTGACAATGTATTCAAAATGCTCTGTACTTATACAATATTTGTCACGAATATTGGTTACAAAAGGTTACAAAAAGGTTACAAAAAGGTTACACAAGATACATAAAAGAGGAAGCAGTTTCTGCTGTTACATTCAATAATCTAATCTTACAAAATATCACATACACATTGTGGTTAGGCATTTCCTGATACATAGAAACTGTCATAGCTTGTGACTTCCTTTCAGTTATGTTTTGCAAGTAGTTCTGAAATACTGACAGATTAATTGTTTAACCCCTTAAGGACCAAATTTCTGGAATAAAAGGGAATCAAGACATGTCATGTGTCCTTAAGGGGTCAATATTCCTTCATTTCCCCCTCTTTGAGCAATATCTTGCTCATACCCTATTTAAGGAGTCCTGGTCAGACAACCAGCCATCTGCCATGGTATATTCAGGATTGCTAGCCAATCCTGCAGGTCTTTCATTATGTCTTCGGCCACTATTCCCATAGCATAGGACTAGGCATCTGACCAGTACCACAAACTTCATAGCAAGCTGGGGATTTTACAGGAACAGTGTTGCGTGTATGTTTGTAAATGCAGAATACAATAATCTTGAAAATAGCATAAACAAGTAGAGCAAGGATCAGAACCATAACAATAATTATTGCAATATTCTTTAGCCAGTCTAGGATACTGTCAAACTTAAACATATCTGCCCATGGGTGATCAATACCTGAATTCCTCTTCATTTCTATGGACAGGTCTTCTAATTTCTTTATATCTAGGGTTACTTTACCATTAGGGCCAGTGTTCTCTGGAATATAGGTACAACAAACACCGGAGTCAAGTAATTTACAGACTCCTCCCTTTTCTGCTAAAATCATATCAAGGGCCATTCTATTCTGGAAAGTCATTTGTGAGGTAGCCTGTAATTGTTCAGCAAGACCTTGTAATGCATCTCGTGTATAATTTACAAATCTTTGCTGATTATAATATATATAATTAATCCAGTTAACATTCTCGTTAGCTGTTATAATGGGAAATATTGATTCAAATCCTGCTGCCACCTTGTCTCTAGCTTTAAATTCATTAGGAACCCCTCTTGGAATACCAATGGCATCTAGATAGATATGTGGGTCGAAACTACCTTGTGGGGATTCCCTTTTCCTTCTTGTGGAATCAGTTACAACCTTAATTTCAGGGAGAGAGTCGCCAAATATATGGAGGGGCATGATTATTTTGGCTGGGGCACATTCTCCTCTCCAGGGGGTGGGGAGTCTAGAACGTATTTTCATATCTCCACATATTCAATAAACATCTCCCACAGATTGTGTTTGATTCACTAAGGTACAGAATCCTGAAGAGAAGTTATCAAATTGTGTACCCACCTTACCATTATTATTTCCCTGAAAACAAGTATAATTACCAGGATATACTGGGACAACATCATTTAAATTAAACTTGGGTTCACCAATAGGGTGACCCTTTTTCCATTCTTCACATTCTGTAGTATTAACAGTGATACCTGAAAACAAACTTAGGAAACATTCCCAGTACTCATCAGGGACATGTAAAGGTACAGTTCCTAGATGAGGTCTGGCACTACCACATACATAACAGTTTGACCTATTGTTGGAATGGGCATTATATCTCATCCATTCCAGCCATAGGTTTGTATCTGCATACCCTGTTTCTAACGCTATGGTATCTCCAAACGTGGGATCTGCTATGGCCATCATATTACCAAGGGTCTGAATGTGGGGCTTTAGAGGATTAACAAGAGTTTGTCTAGAGGTGAGGCTTTCCCATTTTGAGGAGTTCCATATATCTTTTAACTGGATTTTTCCTCGATTACCTCCAATACCTCCTCTTAAAAAGGTACTGAGAATATAAATACCTTGATCTCCAGGACTGGGGTTTTCAATATTTAAGGTAAATTTCATGGAGTGCCCAGTTTGCCCTATAGAGGTACATGTACCTGGCTTTGTTAGGGTCATTCTAGTCAAGAGGGACTTCCCATTCGTATCCTTTTTATCTAATGCATTCTGTGGCTTATAACCCCAATCTGTCCCGGTGTTCCATCCAACTGAGCCCCAATAATCACAATTGTTACCCCTCTTTGAGCAATATATATTGCTCATATCATCGGATAACATTCTCCCAAGACAGAGAAATTTCCACATTATGGCATTCCCAAGCAATCATGTGGTCTACAAGAAACAGAAACTCAGCAGAAAAAAAACAAAACAAAAACCACTTAATACTTTTGCAGACAGATATATAGAAAATGGATGTTTAAGACAGAATGGAACTTGGGCTTATAGCAACTATATTTTTGCACAACCAGGACCTTGCGTCCTATATTTTTTAACCATTTCCCTATTCCAAAAGTCCAGTCAAAACCAGTCATATCCTCACGCAGTTCCTCAAAACATGGGAATCCATCCCTGGCACACTCAACATATATCAAAAACACACATAGTACATCCATCCCTGGGTCAGCTAACACTTCCTCTCTCTCTGGCTAACTCTACAAAAATAAAAATAAAAATAATTCAATAGTTCAGCATAGTTCAGAAAAATAGAATAAGTCTTTCACAGAGTATAAAGAAATCAGTTTAGACACCAGACATTTTGTTCCATAAAAATGGCTAAGGGTAGCAATATGGCTGACAACAAGACAATGTCAGCTTCCATATAGTTCTTCTTTTGTTTGCTGGATTTTCACCACAAAGCTCTGTGCAACACCCCAATGGTTGAAAGGGTTATTACAGAACCAGCGGTATTAGACAGCACTGCACCTTCAGGACTTTCCAGGTTCTTGCGTGCAAAGTTATGTCCTCATAAATAAGTATCTCAGTTTCTTCGGCCTGCATGGATAATGACCAAACAGACGTAATTGCAAAATACTTATTGCATGGTCAGCCAGAGAGATTGGTGTGTAGTCCCAGAAATCAGGCTGCACAAACACTCCAGGACGGTCTCTACAAACATACAAACACAAGGATCAATACAACATTAATTAATTAATTAGGCTAAAACTTAAATTAGAGATTAAGGTTAAACCCTTAATTTGTGTAACATGTACTTCTCTTATATTTTATGCAATCTGTCTTCTATAAAGTTTTACATAATACCCCTTTGGAATGCCTTTGCACGGATGAGAGTAGCACTCACTCTATAGAAATCCTTGTTAGGATGAATATTAAAACACTAACATATACATATGGGGATAATTCCCAATAACACTCTGTTCCTAAACTGGAACCTTGATTTGATATTCAAAATTAATTACTTTAATAATCCCGAATAATTCAATACTCTTGGATTAACACCTAAAACTATATAAAATATTACAAACATGAACCATCTGTGTATTAGGCTGGGGTTGTTGGGTGTGGGTATAGGTTGGAAGCTATGGTTGGTATTGAGGAATCTGTGGGGGTGGGTTTGGGCACTCATTTTTCCAGTGACCCTGCTATCCACAATTAGAACAGTGTGTTCCACCAATGCTGAAGTTGTTACCTCTACAAAAGTTAGACCCTTTGACCAAATCCTCTACCTCTGCCTTTATTCCATATGCAGGATGGGATTACCTAACTCACACACCCCTCTTTGTGTACCACACAGATATAATATTAATAAGCTTTTAAAGGCTGAATGGATAGTTAAATTTTGTATATAAAGCAAGGTTGTCTAGGGGTATATACATCGACAATGAAAGCATAGCCTTCATATAGGGTTTGCAATACTGATAGTCTGTGTCATGAGCGTAATGCAGACATGCGGTTAGGTCCTTTTCCATTGTTATAATATATTGAAAACACTAAGACCTTACAAAAAAAATTTAAACACATATTGCTTCCTGTACCTGTTGCCGTGCAAGGATGTAGTTGGGACATATTTCAAATTGAGTGTCAAAAGTCTAACCATAAAACTAAATGTTATACGCTTATCAAGAAAACAAGTTTAACCCGTTAGTGCATACTTTGGATAGCCTCTTTGCATAATTTGGCACCTAGTGAGATTATTATATTATTTATTAATGCTCTTCTGGATCTGCAAAATGCTTTCAATTTACCCATACAAATATAATACAGTAGTTTAGGAGATTAAAATTACCTCACTTATAAATTTCAGAAAATGTCTAATCTCTATTAAAATACCATGTTATTATTACCCCATAATCAATGAGGCATACTAGATGAATCTTACTTTGACACAAACAATGCAATATACTTTAAAAGTAGAGTTAACTCTGAGCTGGACAATACTCCCCTATTAGAACTCCTTTATGAGGGAGAGACATCTTGTCCATTCAATCCTTTTTATCAGTAAAAGAATGACTTTCAGGATTAATCAATTTGCAAATGGAAACGTGGACCCACGATTTGAACAGCAGAAGTTTGCAGGGCCCCTTTCACGTGGGATGTAACAAGCGCTTTTCGTGCTCCAGGAGCGATAGCATACAATTGTTTCATTCTAGCCGGCTGGACAGCATTTCACCTTTTGTAAAAACACTAAATGCTTGCGTTAATGATATGCAAATCACTCTGATAGTTAAACTCCTACACAATGAAGCATGTGTTGGACCGCTGAAAATGTAAATGTTGCTCTCTTATTAACAAACAAAAATCATATTTACAGTATGGATCCTTTGCAACAAACACACAGGGCAGGGAAGATGTGCTGATTGGTATTCTATACAATTAATCCCATATGGGGAATTAACTTTCAAATACTAATGAAGTGACTTTTTGTCTCAGTTCTAAAAATACTGAGCTCATCATGCAAACAATGCAACACACTTACACTATCCCACTCTCATAGAAAGTGTAGTGGGCTTATGGTATTAAAGTAACAATCATACCAGGCACACAGATCCCATGTGAAATAACTTGCAATAAAGCAGAGTAATAAACTTATACTTCTATGCAACAGAAAGAATAAAGCAAAAGATTTAAGTAGGTCTATCAGGCAAAACCTGCGAGCCAGTTCTTTTCTAATATACAGTACTGCTATCATATATATATGTATATATATTGGTCACTCAGGACCTGAACTTACATTTCCCATACTGCTGACTCGGGGTGGACACACTACTAACTTACCAAAGTGTGTCCCCAATATAGACAATCACCCAATTGATGGAGAATCATTGTTTGCAATAAAGACATGGACACTACAAATGTGCTTTAACAAGATTCTCAGTGAGTATATTTTCAGGGTTAGCATATAAAGCAAAAAGAGTTTAACTATTTCATATCCTTACAGTCAGTACTTAATGATTATAAACCTTGTTTAAGCACCTTGTTTAAGCACCTTGTTTAAGCATAAAATACATATGAACAAGAAAAGTTAACTACTTTATATTCTTGCATGGTAATTTCCCATTCCTAGGACAAATCTTTCAAACACTTATTCACACTCACAACCAGACTTAACTAATGACAATTAGAGGGTGGACAAGGTGAACCTGAAACTCTGTGCACACTATCGTAGTATATTCACTTATATACTAAATTCTCTGTCTATATCACTTTATAGACTTCCTTTTATCTGTCTAATTCTCTTATTAGACCTTCTCTAGTTCACTTACTAGAAATACATATATCTCTGTCTAGTTCCCTTACTAGACTAATTTAACGGGACCTTATGTAAAACTGAGTCACATAAAACACATGTACAAAATAACCTTTCCTAAAATGATGTAGACTTACAAAACCATGGGGATCATAGATTCAGGGCGTCAAGATAGACACAAGGAATTACTACTCACCCAAAATGGTTTTGGCTACAACCCCACTTCTGGTACCAAGCTGAAAGGTAAATTTGCTACTCTGGTGACTCGGTCCCTCTGGTCACTATTCTCCAACCCTCGATTGTCAGCTGAATATTCAGGGAAGATTTTTGTGGAAGCGTATTAACCAGACACACACTCTTTGCTTTCCATAATCTTCAAGTGTATTATAAAAAGGATGGCATATTTATACAGTATTGATCATGAACTTTGACATACATTGGTCAAAATATGCTTACAAAAGATAAACGTTGCTAAGAGCGGAAATAGCTGATTTTTGCAGAAGACCACATTTCTTGTGGTCAAGCATGTCTTATTTTCCATGATACTTTTCTCGGAAGCATCAGGTCAACGTTACTTTGCGGATGCGTCTGTTGATTCAAAAGCAGAAGTGATAAATCAAAAATAACCTGTGGTTTGTCTAGTTTTTAGCTCTTGTGTAAATCTTAAGAAAGAGAATATAATATCAGAAATTATAGATGAGAATCATTAACCCCTTCCCTTCACATACCCCTCCCCCCTTCTACCACTGACGCACAACGTCGATTTCCCCCCGGGACTAGACCCAAGAGCCTTTAAAGACATCCTCCCAGACCCACACCCACGCCTACACCATGTCCTGCAGGGAGAGAAATGTAAAAAACTGACAGACATGACGAGAGTGACGAACCCGACCTTCATGCAGCACTTCAGATACACCCAGCTAGCCAACTTCGTCCATACCCTACCACAGGGCTCAGCGCTCACTAGACAACATACCACACTGGAAGTGGTCTGTATGCACCCAGACCCGCTCCCACATGGTGTATCTTTCCTATACACCATGCTACAAACGGACATCCCGACCGAGACACCCCTATTTATGGGGAAGTGGGAGGACGCCCTCGGGTACACGCTGACAAATAAGGAATGGGAGTCCATATGTTACCTCACACACCACTGCTCCACGCACAGCAAAACACAAGAGACAGCCTACAAACTTCTGACACATTGGTACAGGACACCTCACTTCCTACACCAGATAGACCCAGACCAACCCGGCCTATGCTGGCGATGCCAACAAGAGGAGGGTAGTATCACACACATATGGTGGGAATGCGCAAAGATCAAACCATACTGGCAAAACATCCACAAAATGCTAGAGAAATTCACGGACAAACCACCCCCCCTGGAAATGGCAGCAATGCTCCTACACCACACTTCTACCCCTCACTCCAAATACAAAAAATCTATGACTATTCGAATACTCAATGTAGCCAAACGAGTGCTCCCCCAATTCTGGAAACAGGCCATAACACCCCCACTTAAGACCTGGTTTAGCCAAATGGAGGAACTGAGAACAATAGAGGAACTGACCCTGACGACTAACACTTCCCCGACAGCCTACATGGACATATGGACACATTGGATCCTAGAGACGGCGAAGGAAGGATTCCAAAGGGAACTAGATTTGACAATTGCCACACCACAGACAGGAAGGACTTAGGGAACACACACCTGACGACAGGCGACGACTGACTACCCTCACACCCCTCCCTACCCCAACCCTAACTTTCCCTTCCCCCCCCAGAGGAAAGCCAAGAGATAATAAACCCAATCCAAGTAGACACACAAGCCAATAAGAGGGCACACATGAGACTTGAACATCAAACTCTCAAGGAGTCGGGTCATCCCGACCAGTAAGTCGGACGAGAGGCCGACGAGCCTCTGTATAGCCCGTACACAAACTACAACTGCAGTAAATGTACTGAACTGTAATTGAGAAAGGCTCATAAAATAAGTTAAAAGGGACTTGCAAGTCCGTCAACATTGTGGGCCTGCGAGCCCGACTAAAAGTTACTGTTTTTATATATTTCAAATGCCTTCTAATCCTTTGATAACTCACCTTGGAGACCTGCGAGTCTTCGAATCTTGACTAACCAATACAAATAAAAATTATATTCACAAAAAAAAAAAAAAGTCCTCTTAGAAATAAACTTATATAAAACTTTTTTATATTTATCAATTATTAAATATTTTTTAATTAATAAAACCTTTTAAGATTTTTAATTAGTATGTATATGCAAATATATGTTTATACAAGTATATATATATATATATATATATATATATATTTGTATGTTTTTCTATTTTACATTTACTATGTACAATATTGGGTTGATCTTAATCTTCCTTTTACATATATTTATATATATGTTTTGAACATAAATGTGTTGTTAATTTATATATATATTTTTTCCCCTTTTCTCTTTTCCTTTTTAGTATATTTGGATAGTTTAATTTTAATCTCAAATGTTTAAATGTGTAAATACATGATTATAAGATATATAATGTGTAATGGAGTTTAATGTGTAGTTTGTGGTTCTGCCCTTTCTGGACGTTTATGAGATCCATTTTTAAAGAGGGCAAATTGATTTAGAACATAATACCCCGCCCCTGACGTAAACGTCACGACGGTAATGTGACGAGGACGTCGTGACGTCATACGTAGAGGACGCTACGATTGAGAATGCCGCCGGAAGTAGAGGAGGATGCGGCCAGGCGCCAAACAATGGCGTGGATGCGGCCGAATACCGGAAACCGGAAGAAGAAATGAATTACAGCCGGCAGAGAGAGCGCCAAAAGAAAGGTATTTAAACGAGACAGAAAGAGGAAGAAAGATGAACTTTTGAAAAAGGCTATATGCCGAAACGCGTCAAGTTTATTTCTAAGAGGACTTTTTTATAATATCAGTGTTTGTTTGTATCCAGCTTCTTATTATATGTGGAATAAAAGTTTTTTGCACTTCATCACTTCTTGCATCCAGAATTGATTGAAACAGCTTGAACTAAGGACCACAAAGTGAATTTAGCTTGGAGTTCGTTTTACATACGCTGATTTGCTGTTAGTCTGAGCCAGCTTTTATAAGTGGCTCATGACCATGTGAGTTTGACCATTTATGGTTTCTTAATATTATAGTTGCTTCGTTATTACCCTATATGTTCTTTTTTTCTTGTTTTTAGATTCCCATGGAATTTTATGTATAATAAGGGTAAAGTTATATAGTGTGCTCTCACCATTCACATTTTTGTATATTGGTAAACTTGTTTTATGAGTGTCTATAGTGACTCACATTGGTGATTGGAGCACCTGAGTTCTGGACTATTTTTACCTTAATTCTTTTATATTTTACTGTTCAAGTTTGTTTTAGATTTTTTAGTATCTGCAGACTGTCCTATTTGGATGTGCACTGTTTATACATATGATTGGTTTATGTGTTTGGTATTATCTGTGTGACATGCAAAGATGTGCATGTATACACAGCACTGTGATCAATAATTTGCACTGAAGAGTAATGCAACACACTTGTTGGGGGATCACATATGTTGTTCACAATGCATGTATGTGTGGTCACTTTAATTGCGTCACGGAGGTTTTACTATTTCTTCACAAATTTTTACACATCGTTGTCCTCCTTAGTGTGGGTGCTATATCAAGAGTTTTACTTTGTCCTCCATAGTATGTAATTTGCAATGATCACTACATAGAGCGATCATTTTGTATGTTTGTGGTTTGGCACAACTGGGTAACAGTTGAAACACACGGTTTGTTTGATTTCGTTGCCTAGCAACGTCGTAGCCTCACGCGTCATCACGCTGGTCATGTGATCACCCTGTCTCACTTCAGGGTTTCGGACGGCTAGTGATTCACTCACACACATCTTTTGGTAAGTTTTGATTAATATTTATCTATATATACCCACTTGATAATGATATTATTGATCTTGAAAAAGGCCCTATAGGGGTCGAAACGTCGATCACTGAAAAGTTTTTTTTTTGCACATAAAATTTGCATTTAGAATAAATTAACTATTTGTTAAGACCTGAGAGTGCACCTTATCTGCATTTTTTGTTTTATATATATAGTATATAAATAAAATATAGATATTGTGATCCTGTATAGCGATTAGCACGGTCCTCTAGGGTACAAACATGCACAGTCTTTTGTTTTAATATAAGTTCAGTCACTTTATTTGGAAATCCACACAGGAGGCAGCACCAGGAACAACATCAAATAAATAATAATGTAACAAAGTCCTGCAAACAAAATCCTAGCTCGTCTGAGCGCTTACTAACATTCAATTTCCCTCTCTAGCGAGAAATACACTTAAAGGACCACTCTAGGCACCAAGACCACTTC